ATGTCAAAACAATCAGTAGATCCAGAGATGTAGAATTGCAAATATAGAATTACATATTCTTTGGCAGTCTAAACCGTAAGCATACAGTATACATTTCAACAGGACATTTATCTGTTTGCCTGAAGATCTCATTTAAATATTCGGAGTCCTCCACAAAGCAAACAGGCAAAACAGCCTAATATACAGTATATTGAAATGCAAAAAGCCCCGTCCTTCCCACACACACACACCCAAAACAACTGTCATTCTACTGCAGTTAGATGACCTTTTAGAAAAAAAACGAATGTCATGTGTCATGGCATATCTAGCAAAAGAACACCGGCTTCACTTGCCGAGACAGCCTGGCTTCCTGACCAATTTAGGAAGCTGGGCTGAGAGTCATGAGCTGCCGTCTGGCTTCCTGATTGGTTAGGAAGCCGGCTTCACTTGATCCTCGGCAGCCTGGCTTCCTAACCAATCATGGAGGCTGGGCAGCACATAATGACTCGCCTCCCGGCTTCCTGATTGGCTAGGAATCCAGTTTCACTTGTGGGTAAGCAGCCTGGCTACCTAACCATTCAGGAAGCTGACCTCCCGACTTCCTGATTGGCTAGGAAGCCAGCTTCAATTGTTCCTATGTAGCCTTGCTTCCTGACCAATAAGCAACGAGTTAAGCCGGCTTCCTAGCCAATCAGGAAGCCGGGAGGCTAGTCATAACCCACCGCCCGGCTTCCTGATGGGAAAAGAAGCCGGCTCCATGCTCCCTCGACACTTGCGGTCAGAGGGAGATCTCCCTCTGAGCAGAAGTTCTAGCATCAGAGGCAAGTATCGGAGCATTTGGGCGAGTACAGACAATACAATATATTAAACACACCATGCATATAAAGTGCAATAAAATGCTAAAGTGCAAACTTCATATAGTGCAAGTTCATTTTTCTTCTGGTAGTCCCAGTATGCAAAAAATATGTTTTAATAAACAATCTCTCTACTCAGTCTGCCCCCTTACACACGTGCCCCCACTCAGCGGGTTCACTGACCAAAAGACAATGACCCACTGTCAGAATAGGGTCAAACTGCGCTTTTTATAAAAGCCGATGCAATCACAGGGCATTCCACTTCAGTATGTTTTGTCAGTATATTGTATGTTATGTATTTATCTGAACACCTCCCTTTCACATGATGGCAGGTTTCACTGACCACCAGCAAGGCATGGAGGAAAAGTCAATGTTTGCATACATGTTCTCATGGTTTCTTTCCCCAATGTGACATTTTTAGGGACCCGTGTAGTCCCAAAGTAAGCCGGCCGACAACCCGACAATGCTAAACCACTGCCTCATAATTAGCAGGGGCGAGGTCAGCCTGCCATGCACATTCCCTAAAGCAGAACTCCGGGCACAAATGTTATTAACCCTTGGAGTGGGACTACCCCGCACTGCAAGGGTTAACTGCTTGGTTTTTTTTCTAGTTAAAAAAAAAAAAAGTTATACGCACCCCATCCTCAGAGCTGGCCTTGCTCCCCCTCCTCTGTAGCGGTCTAAGGTCCCTGAGCCATCACGTTCTATACCACCTATCTTATAGACCAGTTAGGAAGCCCGATGGACACCTGAAAGGAAAACTCTGGGCACAGATTTTATTAACCCTTGCAGTGGGGCCACCCCCCCTAACTGCAAGGGTTAGCTGTTAATTTTTGTGTATAGGACGTGAGGACGCCAAGTTCTTCTTTCAGGTGTCCATTGGGCTTCCTATCTGGTCTATCAGATAAGTAGTCTAACACAAGGAAAGAGCTTGCATGGCAGACCGACAACCTTGCTGCTCACTACGAGACAGTAACTTAAAGGAGAACTATGAGGTGAGTGATTTTCACTCATCCTCATAGTTTTAGCCGACCTGTGACAATGAAACTGTCACAGGTCGGCTCAGTAGATCGGGAAGTGAGCGAGCACATCCCGGCGCTCGCTCACTTCTCGGTCCTGTCCCTGCAGAGAGCCATGACAGGGGAGGGACTGGATTCCCCCCTCCCCTGTCCAATCCTCTAGCGCTGACTGGCGGAACAGACTGAGCCGTCACTCACGCAGCTGGGTGTATTCAGACAGTATTGTCCGTTCCGGCTGCGGCGTCTCAGTATAGCGTAAGCGTAGTTTGTGTCCTCCCGTTACCCTTAGGAGAACTATGGGGAAAAGCACTGACCCCATAGTTCTCCTTTAACATTGTCAGTCTGCAACAGGAAGTGATGTTACTGGCAGGATATCCACGTAAGAAACTTTGCAACAAATTCACAAAAAAAAAAAAGATTTATTTTAGAAAACTGTATACAGGCGACCCCCGCGAAGTCGCGGTTCAGAGTTTGCGGCCTTAGTCGTTCGTGGATTTTTCCCATATAGTGGTAACATCGGTATTTTACATGCTAGCACTGCGGGAGACATAGCAGTACAGTACTGTACAGCAGGGCTCAAAATTTCAAGTCCTGAGCTACTAGCCAGGCCTTAAGAGTTACTCGCCACCAGTTGCCCCATCTAACCCCAACCCTGCCTCGGCCTTAACTATATATTTAGGGTTTAAACTATAAAAATAAAGCATTCAAAATTTGCGTTTTTTCACAATTCGCAGTGCCCTATGAATATAACCCCTGCAAATTTTGGGGTTTGACTGTACAGTGATGAGTAAAGCCACAAATATATATATTGCAGGGTCGGGCATTTTCTCGAATCCTTTAATGGCATAATCATGAATTTACAGAGAGAATATCACAGTAAATGTATGGCCTGTTATGGGAAGCTGGGGAAATGTTATGGAACAGATTTCACGCAAGAGCTAGGCAGACAAAAGTTGCCTAAACCGGCTAAACACTAATGTGGTTAGAAATGAGATGTCATAAAAGAGTAATCAAACGTGAAAAAATTCCCATTCCGACAAACCGAGAACATTACTGCTGCAACATGTCTCTCTTTGAGCTGCTGGTAATGGCCCATTGTTACAGCTAGAGGGGATTTTTGCAGGAATGTCAAGTCTTGGCAGTCGCCACATTCACACTGTGCTGTGACCTGAAACAGCAAACTATAAGCTAGATTTCAGATCTAGGAGAGGAGTGGAACGGCATTAGTCATAAAACAAACAAAGGATTAATGTACTCTTGTGAGTAAGGCGTTTTATTAATGGCTTAATATAAAAATAAAGCACTAAGTAGCAAATCCAGCATGGTCACTATTAAAAAGTCAGATCCTGTTCTTGGTTTGGGTCTGAAGTGACTCCGAAGTCACCAAAAACATTTTTTTTTAAATCCTCTGCAAAAGAAGAGTTTAAAAGAAAAAAAACACCAATCCTTTGGGCAGTGACTCTGATTTAAGATCTTTTGCATACAAGGCATAGAAAATGTCACACTCCTGAGATGCTTGGATGTCTGTGTCCCCTAGTGCGCACCATGGTTCCATCCACCAACCATTACGTCACTTCTGTGTCCTACTGTGTTGCAGACAAGTGTCATTTTACACAGGAGTGGCGCTTAATGTGTAATTGCTCCTGATGTGTAACTGACAGTTGCTCCTGATGTACTGCATTTGCCGGTTGTCATTAGGGCTGCAACCAACTAATCAATGAGAATAGTTATCAACTATTCTCATTATCGATTAGCTGGTTGGATCCCCTAGGTCTCTCCTCCACGCTGGGAAGAGGGCGCAGCAAGAAGTGGGTGGGTGCAATAGCCAGCCTGCTATTGCAATTTGAAATGGCCAATAGCAGGCTGGCTATTGCACCAGCCCACTACCTGCTGGATTCAGCTGCCGTCTGAGGAATCTTACCGGCAGCTGCCATTCCCTGGCTGAAGCTAATCAAGTGCCATGTGCTTGCAATACAATTATTTTTTTTTAAATGTATAAAAAGGTGGGGAAAAAATAAATTTTCAGTTTCGGCCTGAAAAATTCTGCTGCAGGAGGTGCGTTGCAGTGCCATCCATTTCACTCCAAACGCGCCTCCCACCCACAGTGTGATCGCCCACACTGGAACATACGGTACCGCAATGCAGTGCGTTCCAGTGCAGTGCGATTGCAAAAAAATGTGCATGCAGTTTTATTATGAAGTGAACTTTGTTTGTAACACTGCATTTGTGTATTTTATTTTAAATTAAGGATGGTATTTATTTCATTTTTTTAATCCGATCGAAAAAATAAAATCGGCCAACTAATCGATTATGAAAATGATCAGTTGTTGCAGCCCTACTGGCCAGGGAGACTAGGCCAAAAGGAAATGTACAACGGGAGTGGATAGCAGCAAACTCTGATACTACTCAGACGTGTTGGAGGCAAGCTTTTAAGTGCAGCCCAACATTTGGTTTGTAACAGCAACATTTTGGAGTTAAGCCCCAGCGCTGTCACATGAAAACCCAAACTCGGAAGTCACCTTGCTTCCTTAAGTAAATGTAGCTACGGTGGATGGGGACGATACTTATACGCAGCTGCGGTTGACGAGAATAAAGTGCACCTGTTGTCTTCTCTTGGTCAAATTAAAGGGTTCAATTTAAAGATCTAAAGAGACCTGCAATTTAGGATCGCAGTTTGTGTTTAGACCAGCAAGCATTTTTGGTGCATTGCCTGCTACGTGCATGGAAAGTCACTTTACCATAGCCGTGTCACATTAGTCCAGTGGGAACAAGCTCTTGGCTGGACAAGTTCACGGTCGTACTGTATCACGGCATAATTTCAACTCAATAAGTAATAACAAAATAAGATGCGTTTCTCATTAAAGATAATGTCAGAAATAAATTATGTTTCAGTTCTCAAAATCATATTCAATACTGACTGGGGTTTTATACCATAACCAGAACAGGATTTTCTCAGCTGCTAAGCTGACAAGTGTAATTGTCATAATGATGCTTAAAAGGTTACTGTGTATGATAAAAATATGACTTCATGTATTACAGTATTTCCTCTTCACTGTCCATTCCCACAAGACAGGAAAGTCAAATGCAATTTACTGAATAATGCTTATTTTGTGGAAGTGGAATCATGAGAAGATCTAGAGACACTTACAGCCAGTGGCTCTGCTGGACCAGTTCCGCATCCTTTCCCCTCTTCTCCATCGGGTTCCACGTTCTCCTTATTGTCAGTGTGATTGTCTTGGGCAGAGCATGCACTCACGAGATCCGGCAGACTCGTGGAAGGGTATTTGCAGAAATCAACCTCCGTTCCATCCTGAAAATAAATTATAAATTTAATTTCCTCCCTTTTTTTAAATTCCAAAACCAGCAATTTCAAACACAGAGTGAAGCAAATCAGTGAGCTGCTAAAGCTATCAAGTAAATGCTGCAGATCACTTTCACTTTTATCAATCTGGGCAAGGTAACAGTGTCAGCATATAGCCCACCACCTCAGGCTTGGCCACCTTCTTGCTGAAGCATCCCAGTCTGTCTAAACTCTGGTGTCAGATTAGACAGCTCCCCTCCCGTGACAGTGATCTTCCAAGGGGGCCTAGATTCCACAAAGTAGGGCTCCCCAGGTGCCTTCCTACACCTCAGTATATCTTCATAGCAACTTGGTATCACGAAAACCCAGCAAACCTCCTTCTCACAGCTTCTATGGTGAATCCCTGGTATAGGATCATCTTGATTGCCACAATTTCCCATTGACCCCCAAATTTGGAACAGGCTCCACTGGCCAAGTGGAAGGTCAAGTGGGCTGGTGGAGGCAGCCTAGCATGAACTTTGGAAGATGTGGTTGATATTTGCATCAAAGAGAGCCTGCATTTAAAAGTTAAGGGTTTGAGCAGGTGCATGGAGAAGCTTGCTCTAAAGACTTGGAACCACTTTGGAAGGTTAAGGTCAACTCAGATTAACCTGGACACAACTCTGTCTCTGAGAGCCAAATCAAGGGAATCCATACTAGCCCAGCCCAGGGGAATCTGATAGGGAGTAACTTGATCAACCCAGAAAAAAAGGAAACTATATTAATACACAGCAAAGGGAGGAGCCATTCCAACTCACACAAAAATGGGTGTGATGGAGATAAATCAGTTCACTGGTTGATCCTATAATTGTACCTGTGAGAGTGAGACTGACCTTACTGTAAAACATTGTCTGTTAGCTGACACTTTTAAATTACTTCAGTAGTAAATTATATAGAAAATTATAGAACTATTAAGGTATTACCACACCTTATAGTTAAACCTGTCAGATAACTGATGACAAGCATGTTGTCCTTGTCCAACACAATCAACCTATTTCCTAAGTGCTTTAAATACGATAAAGCGGAAACAAGCTATTAAAGGAGTTGTAAAAACGCCACAAATTATTTATATCTTAAGTACAATAATACAACGATGTAAGAGACGGCAAACTGTTTCTCTGCTGTATTTCTACTGGGTTTCCATTAAAGAAAAATGGACGAAGGTGAACAGAATATGCGACTGAATAAGAATAGTAACAGTGGATGCCAGGAGAGATAGAAAGGGGATCTCCCTATCAGGTACACAGACTGCAATGTAACCCAGAGATTGTAGTTCTTCTTGAACTTCTTGAAGTTTTTGTTTTAGACATATTATATGGCCAAAGGTTTGTGAACACCTAAGCATCACACCTACAGAAGCCTGTTGGAAATCACATTCTAAAATTAGGCCATTAATATGGAATTGCTACCTTAATTTTTTTTGCAGCTAAAAACAGTCTCCACTTGTCCAAGGCTTTCCACAAGACTTTGGATTGTGTCTGCGAGAATCTAAGCCCATTCAGCCAGAGGAGCATTTAGGAGGTCTCAATCAGCATTCCAATTCATCAAAGTGGTCAATAGGGTTGAGGCCAGGCCAGGCCAGGCCATTTGAGTTCCTCCACACCAATCTCATCAAACAATGTCTTTATACCTGGCTTTGTACACAAGGGTTCAGTCATATTGGAACAGAAAAGGACCTTCCCCAAACTGTTGCCACAATGCTGGAAGCAATGTAAACAATTTAGGGTGCGCGTTTTACTAAACGGAGAGCAAGGTTTTACACCCCAGTAAAGTAGACTATAACCAAAATCCTAAGATTGTAAGACCATACACAGGTATGCAAAGCCTGGGAAGGTGGGCTTTTTGGAAACAATATTAGTATAGTATAAAATAATTTATTGCAGTAGGTTAAAAACAGAATTGTATTATCATAAATATAAGACTTAATACAACGATGTGCATGATCCAGATGATAATACAGCATGTTGCAATGGCCAATGCTGGAAGCACACAATTGTCTAAAATGTCTTTGTATGCCACAAGATTAACATTACACCTCACTAGAGACACTGCTACTCAATAATTTACATACATTTGCCCATATAGTGCAGTTTTTATGGTCTGGTGTCCACAAACTTTTGGCCGTGTAGAAAGCATCACAAAACACTGGAAAATACAGTTAGTTTCTAATAATCTGATTTACAGTTTGGAGTAAATATGAATGACAGAAAAACTACAATATGATATACCTCCTAGCAGGCTCAGCCTCAAAAGTGTGGGTGACTTTTCCAAACCTGGTCAAAATGTCTAAACTGGCCTTGGCCTTAGATGGCTGTCTCCAGCTTGGTCAAAAGATGTGACAACATCATGTCTGTTGTAAAAGGCACCCACTGGCTTGTCTTTCACAGGCAATGAAAAGTCATTTTAAAAGACTAGGAAGTATAGGAGGATAGTAACATTTTGTACCTACCCTGCTGGCCACCACCAGCTGTACCAGTCCAGTTGCAGCCCGCAGTATGCCAACAGCTTCTTGATGAGAGAGGCCCACCAGTGACTGACCATTAATCATGAGGAGCTCATCTCCAGCTTTTAGCCTACTATCCCTGAAAATACAACAATGAGCATCTTATGAATAACAGTTAACAAGGAGGTAAAGCTTCAATGACATAATGGATCTACTGTTATATTTACATACACACAGCTTCTTCAAAATTATAAACCAGCCCTTTCACTTCTCAAAGTATAGTAAGCAAACAGATAAGACATTTTAGGAGGACCTTGATGTTCTCTAAAAGGCACACTGGGGGCATTGCCTGTAGGCTCCCTGCAGCTTATCTTTCCCCATTACTGACTTATCATGCCTTGTTCTGCACTTTGTCTATGTGTAGAGATAGTCATCTTGGTAGAGGAGCAGACCTTCTTTCTCATGTCAGAGCTGCCTCTCTGATGACTGGGAATATTCAAGAAGCAGGAGAGATGAAGGAGGCACAAATTATAAAATGAATGAAGCAAAGGCAGGAAGATACTTGACATGCAGGTTGTCCCATACAGCTTCTTCTCCAGCAAGCAGAACAGTGAGCAGCACAGAAGTGACATCACTAAATCTAATTTCATATCTCCTGCCTTAGATGATCTCATACTGGAGATATACACGCCTGAGAACTGTCCCTTGTGGGAAGACATAAGGTCCTTAGCATTCTGGATCCTGGGGCTTTTAACTCCAGCAGTCTCCAGCAAGCAAACAGGTTGATAGGAGAGAAAGGGAAGGTAAGTATCAACAGGAGGGATTCACATTAACAATCTTACTTTAAGAGTAGAATAGAATAATGACATACCTGTCTGCTGAGCCGCCCTCTTCTACATGGGCAACGACAATCCCATGAGGAGACCTTTTGGAACCTCGTCCACCAGTAATTTGAATCCCAAGCCCGTCTGCTCCCTTTAACATATGCATCTTCCAAATACAGCATCCTTCTCGCTATAAAAAACATAGCCATAGTTATTGTTTAAAAAAAAAAAAAGTGAGTCTTTTTAATTTCTCTTGTGCTGAGAACATGGAGACAATTATTTGGAAATCTTTAACGAAGAAATACATTTTGGTTTTAAAAGTTGGGTTTTAGAGCTTGAGGAAAGGTAAGGAGATGTGTAGAGTCAGAAGCTTTCTCCTAAGAACCTATTCTACTGACAAAAGTCAACAGGATAAACAGAGAATCCCCAGTGTGGAAACCTGCTTTGGCAACAACTGCCAAAGATAGGATTTCCATCCACTTCCTGTCTTGCCTCTTGTGCAGGAAGTGGTAAGAAACCTCAACTTTTTTCTATCCAACAATCCCACACACGTACCTCTGTAAAATCTATGGGGGTCTACTGTGCAGGCACAGCCAGCATTGAGAGGCATTCGGTGCTGAATGTAAATAAAAGCAGGAGGGCCAGGGTGCCAGATATCAGTAAGAATACATCTGTGGAGGGCATGGGCTCTGTGATGTCAGCGAAGGGGGAAGAAATAGGTGAACGTTCTCTGTAAGTGCGCTTATACTTTAACATATATTAAATCATCCAAAAACATAAGTCACCAGGGCCCTGGTTAATCTCCATATATCACAGCAATATGTGCAATATTTGTCTCTTTGTCTGATTAAGAGTCATCCCTTTCATAAAAATGTTTTGTAGCCACTCACAGCTTCAGCTGCGTAAAAATGATCTCACAAACACTTTTACAAGCAACTGTCAAGCAGTGAAAGCTTCTGAAATATTAATATGTGCCCTGTTGATTCATCTGCGGGTTACTAACAGTAATAAAATTGGTTTGATAGATTGAAGAGAAAGAGTAAAGTCACTAAAAAAAGATTACTCAGTTTTCAAGTGGATTTAAAAGACAGTCTGCTTTTTGCAAAACATTTATACATGCACCTACACCCATGAACAAAAGAATTTTTACATTTATTTATTGCATTGGAGCCTGCAAAGCATGACATCTGTGATCAGTGTATCCTGCAGATTGTTTCTCCCAGCCCTAGGTCCACCGTCCATACCAAGGTATAGGGGTGCGGACCTTTAGTTATGGGGATGGAAGAAGAAATCAATAGACTACAGGGGCGGTAATCCATGGCAGATGGGACCTGGCAGACGGGTAGTCTCTCCATTTACAGATCCTGTGAATGAATGAAGTGGCTGTGCAGATGGAGCCACACTGAATTAAAAAAAATAAAATGTATATGTATA